CTCTCTCTCTCCCCCCATCCATGAGCATGTTTGATAAAGCGGCGGCCTAGGATTTCCCTGCCATGCATGCCTTCCCATCAACCGACGGGTGTGTTCACTGGACAATTGACCAGATTTGAAAAAATCTGCAGCAGTTGGCAGGACTTTCGAACTGCGGCAACAACATTTACTTGCCGCATGCTTTCTCGTGGGCATTCCCCATCAACCCTTGCTAAGGGGCGGACCTGCTGCATGCACTCCTGCCAATGTCGCTGTCCTACGCATGTGACACGTCTCTCTCAGTGGATCCGATGCATGCTGTGATAGTCCGTGCATCATCCACTTCCTTCTTTTCCCCCACGTCATTCTTGTCCTGCTTCTGCTTGCTCATCTGATGCCACTGCAGTTTGCGCTGCTGCAGTTTCCACTGCTGCGGTTTCCACTGCTGTAATTTCCACTACTACGGTTTCCACTGCTGCAGTCTCCACCGCTGCAGTTTCCACAGCTCCAGGTTTCACTCCGTCAGTTTCTGCTATTGCAGTTTCACTGCTGCAGTAGTTTCTGCTGTTGCAGTTTCCACTTCTGCAGTTTCCACTGCAGCGGTTTCCACTGCTGCAGTTTTTACACCTCCGGTTTTCGCTCCGGCAGTTTCTGCTATTGCAGTCTCCACTGTTGTGGTTCCTACTACACCTTCCTATGCTAATTTCTTCAGCATACCAGTTTCTATAGTTGCAACTCCCCAAACTATACTTTTTGCTGCTACAGCTTCCTCTGCCACAGCTCCAGCACAAAGAACATCACAGTCTCTTCGACACTCACGCCCTTTTGACATCTTGCCCGCGGACGGCTGCGTTCCTCCTCGCCACCCCTATCTCCTCCATGGTCTTGCTTGCGAACAGACTCTCCGGTTTCCATTTTCTCTATTGTTCCACCTTCTTCGTCAGGGATATGTTGATCATCTGTTTGCAACACCACCACTACTCTTGTTGTGTATGTCGATGACATGCGCGGCATCGTCTATTGTCTGGGGATCAGCAGCCTGTTTCTTTGACTACCCCAATTCTCTTTGTGCCTGCTCCACAGGTTGTGGTGGTTCCTTCGTTCCAAATGGCATTATCCGCTCCTGCCTGCAGGCAGCCCCGACATCATGTTTTATGCCCGCAGTGTTAGAGATTCACGACTCACCAGTACAACAGGATTTGGTGCCTGCCCAGAGTACAATGCGATTCCAGGGACAGTCCCTACTCAGGATGCAGCCCCAAACGTTGAGGGATTGGAACATTATCTGCCCGGATTGCAGTTAACCCCACAAGGCGTAGACCACATGGGGGATCTGCAACTCGTTGACCAGCATCGTTTCGATGAACCACAAATTTGTGCCCCACCACTCGCAGACCACATGGGTGATCTGCAGATTACTGACAACAAACAGCCCAAGACATTTTGGGTTTGCAACACCATCCAAGTGATCTGCAAATTGTTGGCCATTATTCGGCACACCAGCCTGAGATCCTCACCAATCACTGTGGTTTGACTACAACTAATATCTGTCTTCACGCTATCAGACTTCCTTGCAATCATCCTTCAGCTTAATGCTGATCTCCCCCGCCTACAGCGAGAGGATTTAATTATACTCGGGAAAGAGGCTTTACCATTGCTGTCCTACAAGTAGCTATGAGGGACCACCAACTTGAACTATGCAATGCTTGAGCAGGTGAGTGGTTTAATCCTCGATCCCACATCTCTGCCTGCATTGTGCACGGACCTGGCCATTACATGGCCATTGTACATGCCTCTGATCACTGGGAGTTGTGGGATAACGGCGTCATGGTCCATGCCATGACTGTTGTTACTGATTTCTTACATAATGATGCTGTTTTCTTAGCACACCAAACTGTCCGCAATCCTTTTTATGTCGAAGATCATTCCTCTGGCCCCGTGCTGCAGCAAAACAATGCACCAACACTCTTTCACCTTCCCCTTTGCACAACTACAGACACTGTTACACTCGGCTATAGTTGCCATCGTCTCTGTCACAATCACTACGATGACATGGTTTCGGCATCCATGTGTGGAGAGGACTGTCCCTCCTTTCCTGAATGCAGGCACCCTCTGCATCTGGACACTATTTGTCCGTTTTGCAGCCATGGGCGCTATACTGAATGCATGTTTTTTTGTGGTGAGTGTTCTTCCTTCATTTCGGCCTGCAATCGACATGCCATTTGTCGTGAGTGTATGGTGGGCATGCTCAATGCCAGCCGCCGTGGCAATTGTTGCACTGATAATGCTCAGCTAGGTCTTCCATGTGCTCATCCACCTCATCCTTACAATGTGTGTCCTCTCTGTCACCAAGGGCGGACTCATTCTTCAGCCTTTTCTTATCCTCTCCTTTGCCTTCATCTTCATGCCACACTCCGTACTTTCCCTTACTTTCCCTTTTTCGTTCTTTGTTTGTCTTCTCTTCATCTCTCTTCCTTGTGTTTATCACCTCCCCTTTTACTCTGCCCCTTTCTGACAGCGTACAAGTGGGTCGTTATGGCACACGGGGATGTGGGCAGCTCGCAGTCAACTTCATCAATGTGGTGAGCCTTGTACGTGAGAGGCACGGTGAAGGGGGAGTTAAAATAAGAATGAGAAAAATGAATGGTTTCAGTGTGCCCCCCATGTTTGTCTTTTTTTCAACCTTTACCGTTTGTTTTGCAAAGTTCGCTCTTTTAGTTCATAATTATGTGACAATATATATATTTCTGCAAGTGTGCCGCTTTGGTGGCAGACGGTTGTGTGGGCACTTGGCGCTTATCCACAACCTTGCATCTTCTGCTATATTGCCTATCTACACTCTTTTTGTTTTATGGATCCTTTGTGGCGATTTGTAGATGGAAAGAGGGAGAGAGTTTGTTTTCCTTTGAAAAACACACAACACACAAACACAGAGTATGGTGGAGTTCCCTCGTTATGGTATTGACTTGGCAAGCCGCTTCATATCAATGTCCTTGTCACCTATATTTAGACAATCTTTGAGGTGAAGGACGGAGTGAGAGAAGAATGTAGAGTCCTGTAGGTATACCTCATGGTAACCATCCGGACGTCCGGACCAGGTTCCAGCCAGTCCGGTGTCCGGTGTCCGGTCCTGATGTCCGGATGGAGGCCCCTGGGGCAAAAATCAAAAAAAAAAAAGGGGGCGGCCCAGGACGTTTATTGGGTCCTGGCCGCTCCTCAAAAAATAACGGGGCGATTTTTCAGTGTTGTTTCACTCCATCGGGCAGGGCCGAGAGGTCCGGACAAAAGGCACTGCAGGTTTTTGGGGTGGCAGGTTTCGCACAGGCCCGAGCAATTTCAAAGCGGCCATTTCAACGTGGCGCTCGCTGCTGCTGCCCGTTGGGGAGAGAGAGAGAGAGAGAGAGAGAGAGAGAGAGAGAGAGAGAGAGAGAGAGAGAGAGAGAGAGAGAGAGAGAGAGAG